CTGGCTTTAAATAACCTGCATTGGTTATAATAAGCCATAGAAAACGAATGACTCAATCAAATACTGATTAGCTCCGCAGACATGTCTTTTAGATTTATTTACATTCTCAAAATAAGGGGTCAGTTTATATACTGATTGTAATATAGAATTGATCCCTAACTTTATACCTACACTATAATTTCATTGTTTGTAAATCAAATTCTCATTGATTATGAACCTACTTCTCCCCAGTTAGTAAAACTAAAAAATTTCTTACAATTTAAAAATATTTTTTGAATTAAATTAAACGACAAAGGATTGGTAAGCAGTAGAGAATGAATCAGTGTAATCGACTGATCCCAGTGACCCTCAGGGGAGGGCATTGGTTGTATGCATGCTGAGAGTTTGGGAGTGAACAGATCAATATTCATAAAATGCAGTGATCTAGCAATAACTGCATCTTCTGCACGAAATGAGAGATTTAAAGAATTTAAGGAACATGTACTCTCTTCAGTTAGTTAATTAAATGGGAGTTTTGACTGTAGTCCACTTTTCTATCTGGCCTTGTGGCAGACTAAGTTTAGTTTAGCATAAATCGCAGTCTTTCTGTCGGAACCACGCCCTTGTCCAGGTAATGAGAAACTCTTACTAGGAATTTTGAAACTAAGAAGTAAAGATTTCCAAGTGTGAATTGTTCATAAACACAGACAAAAAAAAAAAAAAATGGATGAGGTGAGATGGGGGTTTAGGGATGGGTGTGACATCTTCGTAAAATGTCAAGAGCCGATGAGACATATTGTTTTTCACGGTTCAGCCTTTTTTTTTTCCCCCGACTTGTCTTAACTTTCCTCCGTATCGCCAGACGATTGAGAAAGATGGAGAGGTGAAATGAAATAAAGAAAAATTTGATACAAATAAAGGGAGATAAAGAAAAAGTGAAAACACTTCTACACACACACACACACACACACACACACACATATATATATATATATATATATATATATATATATTATGAACATTATTTGTAGCAGACTCGGATTTGTAGTAGGCGCCCGATTTCATACTTATGATTATCTCAAATCCTCCGAATAATTTCTATCGCTTATATATATATATATATATATATATATATATATATATATATATATATATATATATATAAGTGATAGTAATTATTAGGAGGATTTGAGATAATCATAAAGAAAACAGGCGTGTGTATATATAAATATATATATATATATAAATCTGAATATCTACTCCAAATAATGTTTAATATAATACATATATATATATAATATATATATATATATATATATATATATATATATATATATATATATATATATATAGATAGAGAGAGAGAGAGAGAGAGAGAGAGGTATGGGTAAATTGTCGCCAATTTTATATTTTTAATTTCGCGCATATGCGTAATTTTTTTTATTTTGTCGGCTGCATATTATAATAGGGTCTGTTGGGCACCGTATGACGCAATTCAATCCGCCAGAAATTTGGAAACGGCATGCTGCACTATTTGGCATTAGCACCGAAAAGCCCAATATGAACATTTCATAGTTTTGGGGTGTCAATCTGAGGACAGTGCAGAGGATTCGGAAAGAGTTGTATGAGTCTAATGGTGATTACGATGGTGTTTGGAATGATCACTAGTGATGGCCTCATTTCATCTTCCCACTCGGGCTCAGACTCAACACGTCGGAATACATTATGTGCCTTTTTGGTGTAGTGGAGCCCTGGGTCATATGAGTGCCTGCTGGAAGACCCTATGTCTGGCAACATGACTCTGCACCATGCCACACAAGCAGAAAAAAAACAGTCATGACTGTTAGATCTGAGTCCATATCACCCCTTACATCAGGCCAGCTAACTTTCCAGACTGCAACCCACTTGGATGTGTGCAGCGCAGTTAAGCGAGACATCAACAAAATTCCTTGTAACACCGAAGATGAACGGAAGGCATGGATTATGGCAGCATTCGCCAACTTACAAAAAGATACCGCCCAGAAGAGATGCGGGAGATTCCGAAGTTGTCTGGAGGTCGTGGATGAAGCCAATGACGATTTTTAATGAATGAATTTACTCTTTAGTATTTGAAGATATTTTTGTGTAATTTTGGTAAATATATTTTAAAAAAAAAACAAAAAATACACCAGTTTTATTTCCATTTTTGCGTTATTTAAACGACAATTTTTCCATCGCACCCTGTGTACACACACACACACACACAAATATATATATATATATATATATATATATATATATATATATATATATTCAATTGCATGGATACGAGTTTGTGACCCTGGGTTTCACGCTTTTGCGATCATCAGACACATAGAAAACCTGAATAGGTTAGCTCTCTCACTGATAGTGAGCGCTTTCCACTAAGTACTGTGCATATAAAATAAAATATATATATATATAACACACATATATAAGAGTGTGTGTTATTACTATAAACGTCATATTTGACAATCCCGTTTTTTGAAACAGTGAAGTTAATATCTACCGGCCTAGTGATCGAAAGACTTATTAAAGAATTTGTATCTCCCTATAGGAATCGAACTGTTATTCGCTTTTTAATCTGGGAAAGCACGTCCAAGCTAAGCGCGTTTTACGATTCACAAGAAGCCATTGCAGCAAAGCCAGCCTCTGTTAACACTATCCGAAACGTAACTTTTTTTTAAGCAATAAAAAATACTTACATTGTAAATAAGTAAATTATAATTTTTATAATTGAGAAAAGAAAACCCATTCTGTAAATAAATACCAAGAAGTCTGCCGAGGATTGAATGTGAAAGAAAATCCATGAAACTCTTCGTACAGATTTACGTAAGATAAGAGAAGTACTTTATTTTCTTTCTGGTTTCTTGCTTTTCAGTCAATTTATATCTTCAAAAATTTAAATGCAATATCAGTCGTTATCTTCTGTCTAGATTCTTGTTCTTCTATTGTCCTCTCTCCTTAATAGTAGTTTTTCTCATATTCTCTAATACTCAGTAACCCCCTTGCGTCCTAGTGGCTTTATTGCCTTCCTTGTTATGAAATGATTTAGTGTGTGTATAAAAGAACGGTATATCAAAATTGAAAATTATTTATTTATATATATATATATATATATATATATATATATATATATATATATATATATATATATATATATAGATCTGGAAAAATCTGGAAATCAGATTAAGAAAAAATTACTTATCTTTCTACTGCTTCCTTCTTCCAAATAATATCACAAAAAAAATGGTGAGATCAAAATGTCAAAATACTGTTCACGAAGGCAGTGGCAAAATTCCGTACTACTTTGTTTCGCTCAAACTGTTCAAATTACCCGAGTAGCGATGGACACTTCGAAAGTAATGTCTCCTGTTTATTTGTACAAACGACAAAAGATGCGGGGAGTATAATAATATCATTGGATTGAGTAAAATTTTAACTACAAATCAATATTTTCAATAAATTGGTTAAAAAACGAACATTGATTATAATTCGTGATACACGCTTAGGTGATTGGGTATCTTTCGATACATGACTGACGAGGCAATTTTTTTTTCAGCAGAAGGTTGCCATTTATTTCAGCGGTAGACCAGTTGCCATCCAAGACTATAGAACCCGGCTATCCTGCTATTTACCCATAGCTGGGAGGAGAAGACGAGGATTCATACCTTTCCCAAGGGTATTAGCACGTAAGTGAATGTAATGGATTCAAATGGAATTCGAACTCCGATTCCTCAATCAGAGCCGCTATCCATTACACCACCGTGCTTCCTAATGTAACTGTACGGATGATAACACAGTTTATAGGTGCATCTCCAAAAATATGGAAGAACCTAGCAGCCCATCTCTCCTACGACTTAGCCCAGTTAGAGGTAAGGACTGGCTTGTAAAATTCTATATGGTCTAAACTAGTAACTTTCCATCACCAGCGAACAGATTTTACTTTCACATATCATAATGGATGGATCTTCTCTCAAAGTGGCTCCTTGTCTAGAATGTCTCTTCCCGACCTCAAGTAGAACGCATATATCTGATCTATTGCTAAAGATGCTGGAATGATAGTTGGATGTTCTCTTAAGGAGGCTTTGTGTCTTGAACGTCGATTGGGACTCAAGCCCTCTCCAGACCTCATCAGGAACTCATATATCTGATCTATTGCTAAAGATGCTGGAAAAATGATCGGTTCATTTCAGCGCTCCAGTAAATATCTGACTACCCACCTGCTGTGCCTAGCTTTACAAGTGCCAGATCAGAAAAAAAGTTGTTGCCATATCTGGGCTGGAGGTGCCAGTTCTCACTTGGCTGTTCTGATCGATTTCAAAAGCGTTTATGCGGCCTTGTGGGTGATGAATTATTTTCGACCCAACATCCCACAGACAAAACGTCACGAGCTATTTCCATGGTATGCATTCTGACGAGCTACATTTCTTAGTCCCACCTGAGCTTTTACAACTGGGACTCGCCATGGATGTACACAAGGGCGAATCATCTCTATTCCCTTCGTATTCCATTAGTAAGGAGGAAGTTCCATTCAGACAGCTTCTTCCTAAGGACTGTTGCTTTATGGAATACACTCCAATCGCTAGAATCATGACCTCTTTAGGTTTAGGGTTAAGTTATCTATCCCCGTGTACTTCCTTTCTTGCCTTTTCTTACGCTTATATAGCACCACACAGTAACTCTATATAGAGTGGCTTTTGGGCCCTGTATTGGGCGAACATTAATATAAGAAATGACGAATAATTACAAATAATCATCGTTAGTCTGAAATAAGTCTTCAGAAAAAGAACAGATGATTCTAAATGCGTAAAAAGAGAAAGGAAGAGTCGAGTATAAAAACGAAAAAAGTGAGAGAATGGTGTAGAAAAAAAGAGGTAAAAGAAATAAAAGAGAGAAGTGAGAAAGAAGAGAGTAAGAGTAGATACAAAGAACAGAGAGTAGAAAGAAAAAAAGAAAGACAATGTAGAATTGAAGACAAGAAGACAGATGAGTGGAAAAAATTAAGAAAGAAATGAGAAAAAGAAGGTGAAGATTAGGGAAAGAGAAGGAAGAAAGAAAGAAAGAAAGAAAGAAAGAAAGGGGAGAAGAGAGCAAGAAAAAGAAAATAAAGGAAAAAAAAAAAACAGAAAGAGGAGAGAAAGGCGGGAAAGCGAAAAGAAAAGCGATAATAGAGAAAGAAAAGAGAGAATATATAAAGAAAAATATTTATAAAAAAGAAAAAGAAAGAAACTACACTTGTGTCGTCTCTTTCATTGTTTTAATAAATATTTTATAATAGAATAGAAAAATAAAGACGGGAATAGAGAGAGAAAAAAATAGAGAATAAGAAAAGGAAGAATAAGGAAAGGAAGGCTATACAAAGAAAAAGAAGACGAGAAAAAGAAAAAAAGAGAATAGAGAAACAATGATAAAAACATGAAGAAAGTAAAGGAGACGAGAGAAAAAAAAAGGCAAAAAGAAAAAAAGAGAAAGAAAGAAAGGAGACGAGAGCGTAAGAAAAGAAAACAAAGAAGAAATATAGAGAAAGATAGAGAAAAAGAGAATAAAAAAGAAAATGAAAAAAAACGTAAAAAAAAGTTTAATCAAGAAATCAAATATAAAAATAGAATACCCAAGAGAAGTATTAAAGAATTATAAAAAAATAAAAACACGAAACGCGAGTCGAGAGAGAAAGTGAGAAAGAAATAGAAGGCAAGAAAAGGATAGATAGAGAAGTAGAGAGAGGAGAGGAGGAGAAGAGGAAGGAGAAGGGAGGAGGGAGAGAAGCAAATAATGAAAAAAAAAAAAATGATGATGATGAAATATGCAATGCTGTTTGTTGAATCTAATTACCGGAAAAAAAGTTTCCAATTGCTGTTAAAATCTATAACGCCCAACGTTTTATTTATTTATTTATTTTAATCAGAAAATAAGCAAATAAATAAAATCCGGGAAAAGGAAAAAAAAAAAATCTTGGATTAAATTAGAATTTTTTATTGTAGAAATTTAGACATTCATTAAGGAAAAAAAAATTGAAATCGCCAAGTAGTGAAATTGCCGAGAATAAGTAATTTGTGGGAAGGGAGAAACATCACCGAAGCGCTGGTGAGCACATGTGTAAATATATATATATATATATATATATATATATATATATATATATATATATATATATATATAAGAGCAGACTGTAGTAAAAGAGTATAAAAAGGCACCTGCGTAAGTCTAGTGTCTTTGTCCTTTACCAGATTCTTTCATTCGGCATCTCTTGCATTATGGATTCCTAAAATCCTGGTGAACACATGTGTAAAGGAAATGTACAAATATATATATATATATATATATATATATATATATATATATATATATATATAGTTTAAACAGTAAAATTGTCTAAATCGTGCAACAGCAAAATTGTACAACTGTTAGATTAAGCTCTGAACCGGTGTATCTTATAAATGATTAAATATATCTTACTGTAATACTTCAAGGATTTTATAACATAATTTTGACTCTACTGTTAACAATAAGAATGTACTATTACTCTCCAGACTTCAACAGAAGAATCGTGATGAAATCGATCAAAAACGAAAATAGCATATTCATCATTAATCATACCTAACGAAGGATTGAAATTAAGTAAATATATATATATATATATATATATATATATATATATATAATTTTCCATCTTATTCAAAATGTCTTCGCCCTCTTTAACTTTCTAACTTTCTGTCCTGGTGTATCATAACGTACGATGTCATTTTAAAGTTTTTTTCTTCACTGCGCTTTGGACTGTCATAGCTGAAACTTCTCTTTCACGTGCAATGCGTCTTATGGATTGAGTTGGATCTTTTCTAATTAATCTATTTAGCTCTAAGTTCCAGTTCTCCTCTCTACTGTTCCGTCATTTTTAAACTTATTCACCGTTCTCTTCATGGTTCTTGAATGGACTTTGAAGATGGAAACCAGAGTATGAATGTTGGTACCATTACTGAATGATCATTTTCCTCTCACCATTGCTCATTTGGGAAGATAGTGGGGCTGACACAAAACGAATTAAACCTTTTTACTTTCAAGCTGAATAACTCAAAGATCTTTTCACCGATTCTTACGGCAAATAGCATCAAGATAGCTAAATGTCTTATCTGATAACCTGGATAAAAAACTCAATTAGTTTAGTGTCTTTTTAGATATTAAACATTGTGTAGGATGGACAATTTTTGATCTTGAAAGTGAAGTATGAAGATCCAGAGAAAAATAAAATTTCTGGTGAAATAAATTATAAATAATGGAACCTTAAAGTGGTCTGTTTTTTCTTTAAATTAAATTATTCGCTCTGACTTGAGCCCTCGGGATTTCATCCTCGTTGGGATTATCTATACGGATTACCAAGATTTTCGTTACTTAACTCTCTCTCTCTCTACATATATATATGTATATATATATATATGTGTGTGTGTAGATGGGTGTGTGTGTGTGTGTGTATATGTGTATGTGTGTGTGTGATTCATATATATATATATATATATATATATATATATATTTAAGTTATGAAGAACTTGCTAATCCGTATGGGTAATACCAAGAAGGATGAAATCCTGAGAGCTCAATGTAAATCCAGAGCTTTTATTTAAAAGAAAAACAGACCACTTTAAGTTACCATTATAATAATTTTATTTCAACAGAGACTTTTTCATGATATGGATCATCAGATAGCACTTCAAAAAATTCATTTCATTTTGGGAAGTGCTATCTGATGATCCAAAATCCTTTAGTCCTTTAAAAAGGGCTCTGGTGAAATAAATTATTATACTGGTACCTTAAAGTGGTCTGTTTTTCTGTTAAAATATATATATATATATATATATATATATATATATATATATATATATATATATATATTGGTGAAGAGTTCATGTATGTAATGCTTGCATTGCTTGCCTTAGATTATCCCAGGATAAACAATTTTTCATTGAATTCACTACGACTCACGCGCGTCAGTTTTCGTTCATCGCAGCCGTCCTTAACAAGCTGAAGGGCCACAAAGGTTAAACAGCCGGTGGTATTTGGGTGCTAAACTGACGGCGTTTAATTCTGATATGTGAAATCAGGTGAAGCGGCGTCATGAAAACCAGACAAGAGTTAGTTGTATCCAGTTAGGGAAAAATTGTGATACTGTTAAAAACAATAGGAGTGAACAAAAGAAGAACGAAATTAAAGAAAAGTGGCAATAAACGAAAGAAGAGATAGATAGATAGATATGAACAGGCTGATAGATAGATAGATAGATAGATAGATAGATAGATAGATATGATAGGAACAGGCTGATAGATAGATAGATAGATAGATAGATGAACAGGCTGACAGATAGATGAATAATAGATAGATAGATAGATAGATATGAACAGGCTGATAGATAGATAGATAGATAGATAGATAGATAGATAGATAGATGAATATGAACAGGCTGATAGATAGATAGATGGATGAATGGAACAGGATAATGAATAAAATAGATGAATAGATAGATGATATGAATAGATGATGAACAGATAGATAGATAGATAGATAGATAGATAGATGGATAGATAAATGAATATGAACAGGCTGATAGATAGATATATAGATAGATAGATAGATAAATAGATAAATAGATATGAACAGGATGATGATAGATAGATAGATGAATAGATAGATAGATAGATAGATAGATAGATAGATAGATATGAAACAGGCTGATAGATAGATAGATAGATAGATAGATAGATGGATAGATGAAATAGATAGATGATATGAACAGGCTGATAGATGGATAGATGGATAGATAGATAGATAAATGGATAGATGGATAGATAGATAGATAGATATGTTGAACAGGCTGATGGATAGATAGATAGATAGATGGATAGATAGATAGATAGATAGATAGATGGATAGATAGATGGATAGATAGATAGATAGATGGATAGATGAACAGAATGGATAGATGGATAGATAGATGGATGGATGGATAGATAGATGGATAGATGGATGGATAGATAGATAGATAGATGGATAGATAGATAGATAGACAGGGCTGATAGATGGATGGATGGATGGATGGATGGATGGATAGATGGATGGATAGATGTAAACAGGATGATGGATAGATGGATGGAGATGGAACAGATGATGGATGGATGGATGGATAGATAGATAGATAGATGGATGGATAGATAGATGGATGGATGGATGTGAACAGGCTGATGGATAGATAGATAGATAGATAGATAGATAGATAGATGGATAGATAGATGGATAGATAGATAGATAGATAGAAATGGACAGACTGAGATAGATAGATAGATAGATAGATAGATGATGGATGGATAGATAGATAGATAGATAGATAGATAGATATGGATAGATGGATAGATAGATAGATGGATAATATGAACAGGCTGATAGATGATAGATAGATATGAACAGATAGATAGATAGATAGATATGAACAGATAGATAGATGATAGATAGATAGATAGATAGATAGAGGATGGAATGGGAACAGGCTGATAGAAGATAGATAGATAGATAGATAGATAGATAGATAGATAGATAGATAGATAACGAGAGAGAGAGAGTCGAACAAAAATGGGATTGAACAGGAATAGCTAGCCAGATAAATAGATAGATAATGATAGAGAGAAATAGTAATGGGATTAAACAAGGAAAAGATAGATAGATAGATAGATAGATAGATAGATAGATAGATAGATAGATAATTATAGAGAGGATAAGAAATGGGATTAAACAGGAATTGATAGATCGATAACAAGAGAAAGGAACAGAAGTGGGATTAAACTGGGATAGATAGATAGATAGATAGATAGATAGATAGATAGATAGATAGAGATATGAACAGGCTGATAGATAGATAGGTAGATGAATGAAAGTTTGAAGAAAATAATAAAAAAGAAAGGAAATGTGAATTTTTTAAAATAACCTATAAAGGAATATACAAATAACAAACAAAATAATGATAGGACAGATGGGAATGGGAGGGGAGAGAGAGAAAGTGAGGTATGATAGATAGATAGATAGATAGATAGATAGATAGATAGAATAGAATGGGAACGAGAGATAAAGAGCTGGATGAGAATGAGAGCAAATAAGGAGGTTAATGCGTGCGAGAGAGAAAGATAGATGAGAGATCGAGAAAATGTGAGAAGAGAGTAGATAGGATTGCTTATCGTCCGGTTCACACTCTTCCCCAGTCTTTTGAAAAGGGATAGGGGTTTCCTGTTTCCGCTTAGGTTTCAGGTTCCTTCTAAAGACTTTTCTTTCTCTTCTACTTTCGATGGCCCCTTGCGCCTTGGTGTCATTATCACCTTGCTTGTATCCCTCTACCTCGAGTGGCTCTTGGGCCTTGCATAAGGTGAATATCAATGTAAAACAAGAGAGAATGGGAGAGACGAGAGAAAAAAGGGAGAAGGATGAAGGAAATAAAGCGTGAAGGAAGAGAAATAGAAAAAGAGAGAGAAAGAAGAAAAAGGAGGAGAAAGAGGGGAAAAAGAGAGAAGAGAGAGAGAGAGAGAGAGAATGAAAACGAGAGGGCGTGAGAGGAGGCGAATAAGAACGAGAGAGACGGATTGAATGGGAACGAGAGATAAAGAGCTGGAGGAGAATGAGAGCAAATAAGGAGGTTAATGTGTGCGAGAGAGAAAGATAGAAAGAAAGAGGTGAATAATTGCAAGAGAGAGAGAGAGAGAAGGGGAGAGAAAAGTGGAGAAAGGGGAACGAGAGAAAGAAGAGGGAGAGAGGAAACTATAGAAAAAAACAAATCGACTGAAAAGTCAGAGGCAAAAACAATACAAAAAGAATAAAAACAAGCAAAGTAAAGAAAATAGAACTTGTGTTTTAAAATACAATAAATGGTAGAATCAGCAAAAACTTAAAGAAGATTTGAGAAATAAAAGAAACAGAAGATAAAACAAAAGACATGTCAAATTCTTTCCGAGGCATTTCCAAAGGAAATCAACAAACTCACCCACCCACTTTACAACAGTTATACGAAGAGACCGTGCATGTTTAGATTGCAAGCCTGAGAGCATGCGCAATGAAGCTTTAAAATTTTTGAATAAATTACAAACGGAAGTCGTGTTTCAAGTATAGGAAGCGAAAATGTAGATGGTGGGAAAAGGAACTAATAAAGAGCAGTAAGTCATTTTCGCACAACAAAAAGCCAAGTGACTAAAATCTTTTTCAATGCCTCTGACATTGGAAACATCTCATTAGTGTTTTTTAGGGTCTTTCATGGTGAAGGTGTTAGTGTCAGACGGGTAAAAACAAAAATAAAACTGGGTGGTGCCGGGTACAAATATTACCACCCACAGCGTGATCCTAGCTGTAAGTCTGTTATGAAGAAAAATATTTTACAAGAACCGAAACGTACACGACGATATGATCAATGTTTTCTTATATTTGTTTATCGGAATACCAACAAGTATGGGTTATTTAATGCCGGAATCTAAATATGGATATTTAAAGTTTATAATTAATTCAAGACAATGACATTTTTACATGATTAAATTATTACTTAACTGCCTTTTTTTAACTAAATAATTTTACAAAATCAAATGGGGGGGGGTGGAGTGAAAAACTGTTTCTCCTTACAAGACATGAGATAAATCATAACACATTTTTTTTGTTGTTGTTGTTTGTTTTTGACAATATTTGGCTTAGCTTCAATTTCACTACAAAATGTATTCTTGGTAATTTTCTACATTCCTAGTTGTTTTTTTTTTAATTTTTAATTTTTTTTATTTTAGTTTTAGCTGAGACACTAACAGGTGCTACCAACTTCGGTCAGGGTAAATCTGGGAAAAAAAACACCAATTAAGGGGTGATTCCACGCTACTCAAAAGCTCCACTCTCCCGATCAGAGGCCTTGCAGCTAGATGTAGTTTATAGTCAGACCCAGGACGGGATATGATCAATAAAATTTTCGCGTAATATACATTGAAGACAGAAATTTGAAAGTGCATTAAGATAGTGAAAGATGACTTTCGACAGCTAAGCTAGTTAATAAGAAACTCTAAAAGTTCGTTAGAAACAAAGAAAAATGTCCTGAGCTGTTATATAAGTCCTCCTGTATAGGAGTCAATGCTGGATAATGTCCTCGCAGATGAAGAAGAGACTTGAAGTAACAGAAATATGTTTCTACAGAAGGATGCTGAGAATACCATGGACTGAACATGTGAGCAACGACGAAGTTCTAGATACATTAGAAACAAAAAGGACACTTATAATTAACATCAGGAAGAGACAGCTAGAATTTCTAGAGCACATAATGAGAAAGAAGACTTAGAAAATTAGATGCTCACAGGTCAGATTGAATGCAAGATGGCCAGAAGAAAACAACGCATAACCTTCCTACCACAACAAGGTTTAGGAGAGAAAACAAAAACAAACAAATATATTAAATGCTACAAAGGACAGAAAATTGTGGAGGACCATGATCGCCAACGTCTTGAAGGAACACGGCACATAGACGAAACGGGACGAGTTTGATTAAATGAATGATAGAACAAAGTTTAGGAGAGATAATAAAAAGACAAAATTTATTAAGGGCTACAAAGTACAGGAGATTGTGGAGAGCCATGATCGCCAACGTCCTGAAGTGGCACGGCATATAGACAAAACAGAACGAGCTTGAATAAATGGATGTCGGAACAAGGTTTAGGAGAGATAACAAAAGATAAAATTTATCAAGAAATACAAAGTGTGGGAAATTGTGGAGAGCCATGATCGCCAACGTCCAGAAGGGGCATGGCACACAGAAGAAGAATAAATAAATAATTCTGCAAGATAAACCTCTCCAATATTACGTGTGTTGGAAAATAAGGCAACTTGACGAAACTCTGATATTGAGGTTTCAAAAAGTAAGCCATTTTAAACTTGTTTTTGGATGCGTTCTGTGGTAATTGCAATAATTGAACTGTCGATTTGCCTTTCATTTTCTTTTTTTTCTTGTTTTTAGATATTCTTTTCAATTTTTCACTTTGTATCCACCCAAACACAGCATGCATATCCTGAACACAGAAGATAAGAATTGTGACGTGAAGAGACTCTAAAGTACCACGTAATCGTTTGGCATCTGGCACCAAAATTGATACCTGTCTGCGTCGGCGCCAAGAAAAATATGATATTGTCTCGACGCTAACAGAAAAAAAAAGAAAATTAGATGATCACCGTATTTATAAAACGTTTTGAAAATCGCAAGTAAAACGAAGCAATCACTAGTTCTTAATCCCAAGCAAGGCGATAATGCCACTAAGTGTTTCCCGGGAGTGGATGCTGATGAGAAGACTTTAGACGAGAAAGGACAATAAAAGTACAGATATTAGAAAGACAGAAGATAGCGATTGACGTTGCGTTTACCTTTTTTGAAGATCGTAGGTGACATGGAAGTGAGAAATCGGAAAAGAGTTCCACGGGTGAGAAGTGCGAAAAAAAATGAAACTGTTAGAATAGAATCTACGGTTACATTTGTTTGTTTTTTTTTTTTCTAATTCACCCTAAGCAAGGTGATAATGCCACTAAGACGCAAGGGGGGCTACTGGGAGTGAAAGTGTATGAAAAGATCTGGAAACCCGATCCTAAACAGGAAACAATAAATAAACCTTAACACATGTTAAAAAAACCCGGAGAGGAGTGTGAATCGGGCGATAGGCGAACCTATCTACTCCTATCAACGTTAAAATGATGAGACCTAATAGCCAATCTAGTAGAACACTTAAATTCCCGGGGTCCAAGTACGAAGAAGGAGAGCTTATTAAAATAACTGCTATGAAAATATTTATAGAAAAAGAAACCAAGATGCCAGGTCAGGATTGATAACATTACAGATTCTTATTATATGTTTAAAGTTTGTCTCTTATCAGGTTGAGTCGTAAGTACTTTTCTTTGAGGGGATGGGCTCTTATGATAAATGTATCATCCTATCTATTAATCATACGTGGCTGTTAACCATAAACAGATAACGACAGTCAAGAGAAGGATAAATTTCTACAACAGACCCTAAATTTGGGCTCTATGTAAAAAAGATCACGTTTTTGCGTGTGAAGAGATCGTTAGGGTATTATTCATTTTAAATTCTGTCGCTACTTCCACGGAAAATTCTCAGACGATTTACATTCCCTGGTTCCGCCAGGTGAAACCTTCACGGCAACAACACGCTATGCCACTTGCATAGTAGCAAACCATCCACATTGCCTCCGTATTTCCATCGGTGAGACGTAAGTTTTAAACGAGCAGCTTCTTCCCGCGAGCCACTGCTCTGTGGAACCGACTTCAAACAGGTTGTTTCCACGATCACAACAGTCTTAACCTGTTCAAGGCTAGGGTTAACCGTTATCTTTCACGCCTATACACAAACTAACGTAAACCTCTGGTCCTCGGGCCTTGTAAATGGTGAACCATACAGAAAAAAAGAAAAAAAAAACGCAGTGAAACCCTCAATGTATATGTATATGTCCAGCGCTGCAAGCTTTCCATAAAAGCCTGGACGAAAAGAGCCCTGCGATCGTCAACATAAAATTGATAAGCATAAAGTTAAATTATCATACCTGGAGTAGGCGATTTGGGGAGGTATTATATAGGGAAAATAAGCAGCTAAATATAGTTAATAATTTCCGTTTTAGTGAACCAATTTTAATAGCAAATGTATCATCTTAACTGACCATTACTTTAATATTATAACAAGTGATGAAAAATGTTTTACGTACAACAATGTTCAACGCAAAAGGCAGGTGTATTGACAAGGATATATCTTTAAAACCGACCATTTTCTAAAACCGACTCCCAGAGCTCTATGGAAGAAAGGTCAGGTTGTACGTGTGGTGGGATTGTCGGGGAATTATTCATTTAGAGAACTTAAAACACAGTGCAACACTAAATCCACGTTTATACATCCAGCAACTGCAACGTGTCCTTAATGGTTTAGTCGTAATGCGCCCCACGCTCGTCAGTGGGAAAAAATGTTCTCGTCCATGACAACAAGAAGACCGCATACAACAAGAATAACCTCGGGAAATAATGTTACTCAACACGCCATAATTTCTCTGAACATGCATCAACCGACTGCTACTTGCTTTCATCGCGGGTGATGTAATGGATAATGGCTCTGGATTGTTAATTGTGGAGCCGAGTTCCAATTCCAGTTGGGTTCGTTATATGCTTGAGAATGTATGAATTCATCTATTTTCCCTCCAGCAATCGGTTAATTAGTAAAATTTGTATCACTAAACCATTATTATCTCAAAAAAATAAAAATATTACGGGCAAAATATTTAAATTTCGATATTAAAAAAAAACCCAACAAGCTTTATATTTAAAATTACAATCTAAAAATATTTGCTGGCTTTAAATAAAAGTGTTGATAAGCCGTAAAAAAACGAATCAAACCATCAATCAAATACCGATTAGCTACACAGGCTTGGTTTACGTACATTCCTTGAACTAGATATGCAGAGAAGTGTCCACAAAATGAGGGATCAGTTTACATGTTGAGTGTCATATAGAATTGCTTTCTCACTTTGTACCCACATAAAAATTTCTTGTTTATCAAATTCTGATTAGGTATGAATCTCTTCTTCCCCCCAGCTATGGATTAATTAGTAAGATTTGTATCACTAAATTATTATTATCTAAAAAAAAATCTTATCTAAAAATATTTTCTGGCTTTTTATAACCTGCAAAGGGTTGATACTCCGTAAAAAACGAATCAATCAATCTGATACATGGCAATAGGCCATTACAATTAATGGTGAATATATAATTAAATAAAATGTAATTAATTGTACTTTATTTTTCTAATATAATTAATAAAGAAAAACGGAAATTGGCTCAACCTATACAGATTTTACTAGTATTTTTATTAGTATTTTACTAGTATTTAATAGTATTTTATTTACTAAAAACTTTATTTATTAATATTTTACTAATTAATAATTTATAAGTTTATTATATAATTAATAATTTATATGTTAATTTTAAGTTTATTAATTTATATGCTAATTAATACTACACTAATATATTTAATTATCAATATTTACTCAATAATGAAATATTTTTTTCAAATCTGTTTCCTCATCCTATTATTTTTATTATTTATTATTTTATTTTATTATTTTTAATTTAAATGTTCTGGACGTTTGTTCGTGGAAATGGCTATATGTTGCGCACGCTACTGAAGAGTCATGGTAAGAATGATTGACACGTCAAGATTTACTTGCACGCTCGAGGGAACCTTGAGGCGATGTAATGGTTATCAAGCTCGTCTCACTAGAACAATTACTACTGAGTAGTGAGTTCGATCCTCACTGGGTGCGCCATACTTTCGGCCCTGTGCCACATCTAAGCTATGCCTGGAAAATCGCTACTTGCACGCTCGAAGACAGAAAAAGCTTATTTATATACTTATATACGTACACATATGCACACACATATATAAACTTGCTCGCTTAGATAATACACATATAGGTTTGAAGAGAGAGAGAGAGAGAGAGAGAGAGAGAGAGAGAGAGAGAGAGAAGGAAAGGCAAGTGGAACGGAATGAGAAAGTAAGAAAAGAAAGGAAAAGCAGGGAGAATAGAGAGAGAAGGCTAAAAAGAAAGGCAGGGAGAACAGAGAGAGTGAGCAAAAAAAAAAAAGAAAAAAGAAAAACAAGAATGACAGAGAAAGAAAGACAAGAAAAAGAGAAAGTGTGTGTGTGAGAAAAGAGAGAAAGAAAGAAAGAAAAAGAAAAAGAAAAGAAAGAAAAGAAAGAAAGAATTGTTAAAGAAAGTAAAAAATTGAGGCATAGAGAGAGTGTATGTGTCAGGCAGAAAGGGAAAGAAAGGAACTCAAGTTGAACACAGAGAGAGAGAGAGAGAGAGAGAGAGAGAAAGAGAGGGAAGCAAGAGAAAGAAGAGAGAGAGAGAGTAAGAAAGAGAGGACAGAGAGAGAGAGAGAGAATAAATGAGAAAGAAAGTTAGAAAAATATGTGTTTTCTTTCTAACTTTCTTTCTCATTATTTCTCTCTCTGTCCTCAAAGAAGGCGCGAGAAAGTATCAAAGGAAAGTCTCTGTATCTTTGTGTGAGGGGGTGAGTGAGAGAGAGAGAGAAAGCATGAAAGAATCACGCAACGCAGAGAAAGAAAGAACAAAAAGGAAGAAAGAAAGACAAAGAAAGAAAAGGAGGTACAAAGACAGACTAAAGCGGTAAAAAATAGCAGACGATATCGAGATACAGAAAGGTAAGAGAAAGAGAGTGAATTGAAAAAACTGAATGAGAGAAAGCAAAGAGTGAGTGAGTGAGTGAGTGAGTGAGTGAGTGAGTGAGTGAGTGAGTGGAAGTAAAAACAAAAGTAGGAGGAACAGAGTAAAAGATAAGAAGGCGATCTTACCTGTCAGGACTGGTTCCAGATTTGTATGTGACGGGTATTCAACAAAACGTCTTGCCGTCGTCGGCAAATCGGCAGCCGATTTGCCTGATATGTCGCAATGCTGCCCCGGCATAGAGTTAAAAGGTCCTGAGGCCGAGCGCATGGCAGTCGCAGTGGCCGGCTGCGAGGCCGTCGCTACCGGATGGTGTGACATAATCAAAGGGTTGTACTGTCCATGGGTGTTCGAGAATCGACTCGAAGCTGCCGCTGCGGCTGCCGCAGCCATCGACGAATATGAGAAGTCGTAGTGCATGTGCGTCGCTGGGCTGGGCCGATGATACGAACCTTGAGAGTGGGACGAAATAGGATAATGCCAGGGGCTAGCAGCAGCCACCTGATGTAGACTGGAGATACCGTGGAGGGTGGCCGAACTTAGGTAAGGATTTGACGTATTGAACGGGAGCGGATTAGAATCCAGGTAGCTGTTCGATAGCGTATTACATATGTGCGGGTCCCAGAACGAAGGGGGAAAATTTCGTTGTGTCATTGGTAGAGAATCTGAAATTAAAAAAAAAGAAATAATTCAGTGACAGGAAGTAAAAATCCTTAATAATTAGCTGCTACTTATATATATATATATATATATATATATATATATATATATATATGGGGGGGAGTGCACCGTCTGTGATAAAAAGAGCACCATGACGCAATTCACTCCACCAGAAATTTGGCATGCTATTACTGCTTGGCATTCACCAGAAGCTCCAATACGAACATTTCAGAGTTTAGGTGTCAATCGGAGGACAGATTTGGAAAGAGTTGGATGAGTCTAATAGTGATTACAAATGTGTTTGGTGTGATCACTAGAGATGGCGACGTTATACTTCCATTCATCTTCCAGCAGGGGCTCAGACTAAACATGGAGGCCTACTTCAAGTGCCTTGAGGAGGTAGTGCTGCCAAGAGAATGTTTGCTGGATGACCCTATGCCTGATAACAGGACTCTGAACCACGATACACAAGCAAGAAAACCTGGTCATAACTGGGAGACAAATTCCGCTACCACATCACCCGTTACATCTGGCGACCTAACTCCCCCAGACTGCAACTCAAAATGTTAACTTTCGAACTTCCCAAAGCGGCAAAACCATCAATGTGCATCGGTCGGCGCAACTGAGAGGTCACGTTGGGTTTTCTTTCCGCTAGTTCTTATGTTTTTTTGTTTTTTTTGCCACGGCAAAAAAAAATAATCCATGCAAATGAATACTAATAGGGAAAAGAATGCAGAATTTCAATAATATATGCATAATATAATATGGCATAATATTTGCATAATATATGCATAATAATGATATTTGCATAATATTTTGCATAATATATGCATGATTATAATATTGCATAAGATTTACATAATATATACATAATATTTGCATAATATTTTACATAATATATACATAATATTTGCATAATATTTTGCATAATATATGCATAATAATAATATTGCATAATATTTGCATAATATATGCATAATAATATTTGCATAATATATGAATAATAATATTTGCATAATATATGCATAATGATATTTGCATAATATATGCATAATAATATTTGCATAATATTTTGCATATATGCAAAATAATAATAATGCATAATATATGCATAATAATAATATTTGCATAATATTTTGCACAATATATGCATAATAATATCTGCATAATATATGCGTAATAATAATAATGCATAATATTTGCATAATACATGCGTAATAATAATAATGCATAATATTTGTATAATATATGCATAATAATAATATTTACATAATATATGCATAATATTTGAAATGCACCTTTTGAATCTAACAATCATGGAAAAGTATGAATGACATCTCGATTTATGGTGTAAGGGTGAATCGCGGAAAAAATAGATTGAGAACTACTGCTCTACAGAGTTTGGTTAGGACCATATCTTCTGGTACCAGAAACCCAAAATTTGAGTACAGATTTTTTTAAAAAGTAAAAAATGCTGTTTTTCGAGGCAGGCAAACAGGCCGTTGGAAGATTGATGTAACCCAATTTTCTGATCTTTGTTTGGTTTTTCTGTTAGGCTTTGACATTAAGAAAGTCTACATAAAAGAAAAAGCAAAGAAGAAAGAAGCCAAGACAAAAGAGAACTATAAATTATTAGGCACCCACAGAGATTTGCCGTGGAAGTTAATTAAATTTTTTAAGATTCTATTTATTGCGAAATTTGCTATTTGAAATCTGAATACTGAAGAATTTCTCTTATTTAACCTTTTACGGCAACTATTTATAGTTTAGAAATATTTTGCCATAAAAAAATAAAGAGAGGGAGGGAGAGAGAGCTAGACAGACAGAGAAAAAGATACACAGAGAGAAACAGACAGACAGACAGACAGACAGACAGAGAGATAGAGACAGACATACAGAAACAAAGAGGCACAGAAACACAGAGAGAGACAGAGAGAGATAGAGAGAGAGAGAGAGAGAAAGACAGAATGGGAGGGAGAGAGAGAGAGAGACAGATAGACAAAGAGAGAGACAGAGACAGACAACGAGGAAGACAGACAGACTGAGATACAGAAAGAGAGAGACAGAGAAACAGAAAGATGGAGAGAGACAGAGACAGAGAGAAAGACAGAGAGACAGACAGAGAGAAAGTCAGAGAAAGAAACATACAGACAGAGACAGACAGACAGACAGGCTGAGACAAACAGACAGACAGACAGACAGAGGCACAGAGACACAGAGAGAGACAGACAGAGAGAGATAGAGACAGACGGAGAGAGAGAGAGAGAGAGAGAGAGAAAGACAGAGATAGAAAGACAGAGAGAAAGACAGACTAAGATAGAGAATGAGACAGACAGACAGACAAACAGACAGACAAACGGACAGAGAGAAAGAGAGAGATAGAGACAGACAAAGAGAAAGACAGACAGACTGAGATACAGAAAGAGAGAGACAGACAGAGAAACAGAAAGACGGAGAGAGACAGAGAGAGAGACAGAGACAGAGAGATCCACTCCAAGAAAGGAAATACTTTTGGTATCTGGCGATTAGGGAAACAAAAAAAAATTTAAGCATTCTCTTTGAAACCTTGACACAGTCACTTCTATTCTTTGACACTTTGCATCAAATTTCCAACCAAGCGGTCACATTCGACAGTACCCAAGCAAAATTATTTTGAACATTGATCCACTAGGAGTCTTCAGTAATCCCTATTTTCAATTGAATGGTGTCTTCATCATTCCTGTACTGGAACCGAAATGATTTGCCTCATATTTTCCGAATCATGGTTGTTCATGATACAAAGTTTGGTAAATTAAAGAGAAAATAAGGGTCTTTGCTTTGAATGATTTTTTACAACGAGACACGGGAAAAGAGAGAAGAGAAAGAGAGAGAAAGAGAGAGAGAGAGAGAGAGAGAGAGAGAAAGAAAAAGACAGACTAGGATACAGAAAGAGAGAGAGACAGAGAGAGAGAGAGAGAGAGAGAGACAAAGAAAAAGACAGACTAGGATACAGAAAGAGAGAGAGACAGAGAAGACCGTTGAGAGATAAATTACAGATAAATTGGATGACCCAATTGTTTAAATTCACTAAAGTTTTGATTAATATTTAATTGAAGATATTTTCCATCATATATATATATATATATATATATATATATATATATATATAAAATATGACGATTGCGTCTAGCATGAATTCAGCCTGTTGCCTCTGCCAAGTGTTGACTTCAATGTTCCCTTTTATATTTTTTATTTACATACGCTCTATCTCTGATATTGAGCAAACTTTATCCCATAAATATAGCACACTTTAAAACTATATATATATATATATACAATTTTTTATATATGTTATTTAATAACATATTTATTTGGATGATGATTAATAGTTTGTCCATATAAGTTTCACGCTCTTTACGATCTTATGTCAATATATATAATATATATATATATATATATATATATATATATATGTGTGTGTGTGTGTGTGTGTGTGTGTGTGTGTGTGTGTGTGTGTATGTGTTATACGGTGGAATAATGGATAGGCGGCTTGGATTGAGGAATCGCAGAGCCGAGTTCGAATTCCAGTCGAATCCATTACATTCACTTACGTGCTAATACCCTTGGGAAAGATATGAATCCTCCCTCCAGCTATGGGTAAAATAGTAGGACAGATTGGGTTCTATAGCCTTGGATGGCAACTGGTCTAGGAGAAGGACAACTCTGAATTCAAAACCTGCGGAGGGTCGGTTGCGAACCTCGTGGCACTTAGTGCACCAGGTCTCTGTATTCGTCCCTTCAAAAAGTGTGGATGGTCTTGCACGAAGCCTTCACCACTATAATCAAATCTCATGTGTCGGGCTGTCGATTTCCTGGAAACTGATCTGCTTGACCCTCATACGTCGAGTTCGACGGGAGAGTCGACTATATATATATATATATATGTATATATATGTAAATAGAATAAAAAATAAAACATTATTAAAGAGCGAACCAAGAAGACAGTAGATTGCCATTGCATTTCAATTTTTGAAGATCAAAGTTGTCTTATTTTCCCGTGCTTATTGAGAAAGATTTGCGTGGCTGTGTCGGTATAAGCACATTTGATCTAAAGATGGTTTCTTATGCCAAGGAGGACGCAAATTTCATCATTCTTGCCGATTACACGTTTTTCATTAATATATATTTCTCGAATATTCAGATTCGCCAGCAAGGCCTCTGATCTGGAGGTTTTGATGAACGTAGAACCACCTCTTAATTGTGGCTGCTCCCAGGTTCAACCTGGCTTAGGGTGGTATCACCTGTTGTCGCACCAGCTATGGACAAATAGATTATCCCCAAACTGGGGTCAAAACATAACAGAGTATAAAATGAATTTTAATTTCGTTACTATCATATTATCAGCAATACATTTTTGTAAAAGAAATTACTAACGCTCCCAAGAAAATTAAATTTCGGCATTAAATGACCTATAAAGGTGTTGATATGCTGCTAAACAAACAAAAATCAAATATTCATGCCGGTGGAAGAAAATAAATATATTGTTTAATAAGTAAACGGAACGTCTACTCAGATATGAGTATCCGCTGAAAATAACATCTAAGTAATAAAATATGTTGGATTAATAAATCCATCACTTCTTTAGAAATTTAATTTCTTTTTTTGTATTACGAAATTATGCATATATAAAATATATTTTTATGAAAAAAATTTGAGTTTATTTTAAAAATATCTATCTATATTTATATGTGTGTGTGTGTGTGTGTGTGTGTGGGAATATCTAGATAAAATTTCCAGGATGCAAATATTTAAACTATGGAAGATTTCATGATCTTTATAAATATCACCTTGAATGCAATACAAAGTGTAAAGATTGAATACGAGACCACAAGAGTAACAGTCTATTAGTCTAGCCACTTCATCGTTGCATGTACTATTCTTTGATGCCATAACTTGTACTGAAATATGGAAGCTCAGATAGAAACAACGAAGAATATGTATGTTATTTAAATCGCAAACTGATTTTTATTTAATTTCTAAGAATCTTCACACTCATCTTCTCTTTGTCTCCACTAACATAAATGTATACCCCACATACTCAAAAAATATTTTAAACAAAAAACAAGTTCGACAATAAACTTTTTTCTTTAATTCATTTTGACTGTAAAATTATAATTTAACTTTGTTCTCACTGTTTCTAAGCCAATCTACCAAACTTGCTAAACTTTTCTCTCTGTTTCATCAAAACATACATAAAAATATGCCAGAAAAATTACTGCAGCAGTTTTATTTTTTTACAGAAATGGGTGGTGCAAACGGCAGTGAGAACTAAAAAAATATTTCTTTCTTTCTTTTATGTAATTATCTAATATAAATATTGTAAATCCTCGTTAATGTAAACCTCTCTTTCTTTTTCTTTCTTTCTTTCTTTCTTTCTTTCTTTCTTTCTTTCTTTCTTTCTTTCTTTCATGTAATTCTCTGTTCTTCCTCTTGCTTTCCCTCGTTAATGTAAACCTCTCTTTCTTTTTCTTTCTTTCTTTCTTTCTTTCATATTTCTTTTTTCTTTCTTTCTTGTTATACATTAATTTTTCCTTACAAAATTTAAAAAAAGATCTTTCTTTTTTTTTTTTATTTTTCTTAAATGTTATTAATTAAAAAAAATTTTTTTAATGAAATTCTTGTTTTTTTTTTTTTCATATTAATAAAATTATTCCTTCTTTCTCTCTTAAATGAATTTCCCCTTTTTCTCTTTCTTTTTTGTCTTTATTTCTTTAATGTAGTTCTTTTTTCTCTCTGTTTTTCTTTCTTTTAATGTAATCCTTTCTTTCTTTCTCTCTTTCTTTCTTTCTTTCTTTCTTTCTTTCATTTAATTCTCTGTTCTTCCTCTTGCTTCCCCTCGTTAATGTAAACCTCACTTTCTTTCTTTCTTTCTTTCTTTCTTTCTTTCTTTCTTTCGTGTAATTCTCTTTGCTTTCCATTTCTTTCTTTAATGCAATCTTCTTTGTTTTTTCTTTTCCTTTAATGTAATACGTTCTTTCTTACTTTAATGCATTTCTTTCTTTCTTTCTTTAATCTAGTTCTCTCTCCTTTTCTTAATGCAATCATTCTCTTTTCTTTCTCTCTTTTGTCTTTTTTTCTTTTTCTGGGCGTTCTACGGGTTTCGCTGACTTTTACAAGTTCGAGAATTCAGAGACTACAAGCACTTCATGAAGGCACAAATGGGACGAAAACAATTCACAGGGACGAAGTTGATGATGAGCAAAATGTCAGAAACCACAGGATACGCATTTTCTACAGGCGCACGACCTTCTTGCAAACAATTCAACCTTTTCCCTGTCATATCTTGCGTCCTCATTTACTGCTCTTTTCAGAGAAAGACGAGAGTTCGCAGGGTGGTGAGATCGTGGAGACAAGAAGAATGATTGCGATGAGTGTGGCCAAAAGAAAGAAAAAAAAGGGCAATTAAAAGTACAAAGAAAAATGTCTTAGCGAATCTTATACAAATATGATTGTATATAATGCGCCATTACGTTAGTATATAATGCGCAAATTGTATTTTTGCCTGCAAAATCCATAATTTTTACTGTAACAGAATTATCTCCCTGACACTCATATACAGAAGGTGTCCGAAGAAATATACATATTCTTTGCTAGTGTCAGCTATTAAAACAATTTAATCTATAATAATAAAGTGAAGTGTACGTCCGTCCGTCTGTCCGTTTTTTGGATCCCGGCAAATAAAAAAAACCCTGAAGTAACTGATAATAACTACTGTAGTTACACGCAATTAAAAATTAAATAAATAACTCATTTAAAATTAAATTTAAATATCGAACAGAGTGAAAGGTTTAAAAAACAAATTTTATTAAATGTTTAACTTTAATTTGGCTTTTAATCACAATTGCAATTGATACCATCTAATTAAACTGTAATTAAAACTTAAGCGTTGCCTATATGTTTTTTTTCTAGCACGCGTACTGTGATTTATTCGAAATATCACATAGTCCGGGTACTCTAATGTCGTTTAAGAGTGACTTTATGTGAAAGGATCATAAAGAATGGTGATTTTAAAAGAAAATAAAAAAAAATTGCACGCAAAGTAAATGTAAAGAAACTACGGAGATCGGTTGCGTATGCGAAGAAAGATTATGCCGAACATAGGTGTCGAAAAATAATTTTATTATTTCTAAATTCTTATAACTTTTACGTATATAGGACGCTGAAGGCAAAAGACTTAAGGCCCAAAATCCCTCCACAGGAGCTCGGCGAAAGTCCGCCCGAAAGGCGGCTTCGAGGCTAGTTTTTAATAATTCTTAAATACAGAAACCAGATCTTTTGTAAAGCCGTCAAGAATGCTGTTAAAAATGATGTCAAAGTATCTATGAAATATAACAGTGCCAGTCAATAATGGGTTTGTACTCAGCATATCAAAGATCATTCGATAAAATTAGAGATTCATTTAGTGAAATAAAAGAGGAACAGAGAATATGAAAGGAACTCTTCGCCTTATTAACTTCTGCTCTTGCCTTTGTCTCATCAACTTCTCTTCTTCGCCTCATCATCTCTTTTCTTCGCCTCAACCTTTGCTCTTCGCTTCATCAACTTCTGATTTTCGCCTCACCAACTTCTGTTCTTGTCTTTGCCTCATCAGCATCTCTTTTTCGTCTCATCAACTTCTCTTTTCTTCGCCTCAACCTCCTCTCTTCGCCTCATCAACTTCTGCCTTTCGCCTCACCAGCTTCGGCTCTTGTCTTTGCCTCATCAGCTTCTCTTTTTCGCCTTATTATCTTCTGGTCTTGTCTTTGTCCCATCAACCTCTGCTCTTCGCCTTATCAACTTCTGTTCTTGCCTTTGTCTCATCAAGTTCTCTTCTTCGCCTCATCAGCTTATTTTTTTTTTCGCCTCAACCTTTGCTCTTCGCCTCATCAACTTCTGCTTTTCTTTGAAGCGGTGACAACAAGAACTGAAATGTATGAGGCGACGACAAAGCAGGAAATGAAGAGGACAAGAAAAAAGTCGGATGATGAAGGGAAGAAAACGAAAATAAAAACTGAAGAGAAGAACAAATAAACAGGGAGAGAGGGTGGGAGGGAGAGAGAGAGAGAAAAGAAAGAATATGTCGGGGAGATGGAAGGGAAAATTGTGGATATTAAAAATGAAAATTGGGACAGACAAAAAGAAGAAGAAAATTATGACTAACAGAGAAAAAGGCAGTTCAGAGAAGAAAGTGAACATGATTGAGAGAGACGTAAAAAGAAAGAGATAGAGAGAAAGAAAAGACACAAAAAGGAGAAAGTAAGAAAAGACTAAGTATAAAAAGGAAAGAAAAAAATGAACGCAGAAATGATAAAAAGAGATATATATATATATATATATATATATATATATAACAAAAGGAAAATGAGAGAGAGAGAAAGAAATAACAAAAGAAAAATGAGAGAGAGAGAGAGAGAGAGAAATGACAAAAGGAAAATGAAAAAGAGTGTGGAATAACAAAGGAAAATGAGAGAGAGAGAGAGAGAGAAATAACAAAAGGAAAATGAGGGAGAGATAGAAATAACCAGAGTAAAATGGGAGAGAGAGAAATAAGAAAAGGAAAATGAGAGGGAGAGAGAAATAAGAAAAGGAAAATGAGAGAGAGAGAGAGAGAAATAAGAAAAGGAAAATGAGAGAGAGAGAGAGAAAGAAATAATAAAAAAGGAAAATGAGAGAGAGAGAGAAATAACAAAAGGAAAATGAGAGAGAGAGAAATAACAAAAGGAAAATGAGAGAGAGAGAGAGAGAAAGAAATAGCAATAACAAAAGGAAAATGAGAGAGAGAGAGAGAGAGAGAGAGCTTGAAATAACAAAAGGAAAATGAGAGAAATAACCAGAGTAAAATGGGACAGAGAGAAATAAAAAAAAAAAAAATGATATATATATATATATATATATATATATATATATATATATATATACAAAGGGAAAATGAGAGAGAGAAAAAATAATAAAAGGAAAATGAGAGAGAGAGAGAGAGAGAGAGAGAGAGAGATAAAGTAAAAGGAAAAAGAAAAGAAAATTCAACTCGAAAGAAGGAAAATAAGATAGAAACGTGTAAACAAGAGCAACAGAGGAGAATTATCGAAGACGGAGACGATGAGGTGGGACGTTCAGGCGTTCGTTCCCAACGTCCAGTCTGTTTAATAACCCGCCGGCCATATGTTGACTGTTTACCTTGGGGTCTTTGTTTGTTGGTGTTCATGTCTTTTCAATTATTTCCTCTAAATCTCGCCCGGAAAGGGACGGTGTTTGAACAACAAACATGAAAGGTGTCCGATATGATGCAGGACAAGAAAAAGTGTTATGGTCGAGAAGGAACGTCATGGGAGGTGAGAAACAAAGACTGAAACAAAAAGACAAGAACGTTTGGCAAATTCTGTATAAGTAAAAAAAAGAAAATGTCTATTAAGATTTACTTAGTTTGACACAAGGCCACAAGCTGTTTCCAGTGCCATTTCAAGAGCTGTTCATATTAAAGGATTAATGAATGAACTGTGTGATATGAATAGAGGAGGTAGACAGAGACTGACTTGAAGAGGTTACGGGTGTAGCGTCCAGGGAAGTATTCACATAAGAATAAGTTCCACAAAGTAACAGTTCTCTGGAACAAAAAAAAAAAAAAAAAATAACGTCATGAGTGGTACTTCCTCCTTACAATTGGAATACGGAAGAAATGTGAGTTATTCGGCTCCGTGGACATAGCATGGTGTTCTTGCTATAAAGCTGTCAACTGGCAGTGTCCATCTAAATATTTGTCATATAAATAGTGATCTTCTTCTCTGTGCCGGGTCCCTTCAGGACGTAGGCGATCATGTCTCTCCTCAATTTCCTACCCTTTGTAACTCATAACAAACGTTGTCCTTTTGTTATCTCTCCTAAAACTTGTTCCGCAATCTATTTACTCGCGCTCGATAGACAGATTATACATTACTTTCCCCTGTCTTAATTGCCTTCAATCTGCCGTGTGAGCATCAAATTTTACAAGCTCTCTTTCCTCACTATGTACCCTAGAAATTTCAAATGTCTATTCTTGATGTTAAGTATAAGTGTCCTTTTTGTTTCCATTTTTTTAAAAACTTCGTCGTCGCTCAGATGTTCGGCATCCTCAGCATCATTCTGTAGAACCACATTTCTCTTGCTTCAGTTCTCTTAAATAAACTGTGAAGAGAATGTCCAGTATTCACTGCCATATAGGAGGACCGATATTAAATAACAGTTGAGTATCCTTTTCTTTGTTGCTAACGAAATGTTTCTGTTTGCTTCGCTTCTGGAAGGTTCTGAAAACCAGACTAGTGACATTTCCCATCGCCGATCGGACCCAGAATTTACACCAATTGCGATGAACGGATGTTGCCTAAATACTTAGGCACCTATTAGTGTTCAAATTCAGCCCATACTTCAAGTAGAACTCGTACATACTATCGATCGTTAAAGATGCTCGAAAAATGGTCAGTTTCCAATACCGCTCACTCCTCCTGCTTACCTTTACAAGAGCTAGAGCAGGCTAAAAATGGATTACAGCTGCCATAAATGGGCGGGAGATGCCCAATCTTAAATTTCAGCTCTCGATAGTCCAAAAAGCCTTACCACGTCCTTGTAGACGTATTATTTTCCACTCTGTAAGCCCTTTCTCAGAGACGGAACACTGAAAGTCTCTCGTTGCTATATCGCTCTTTCCACGAGAGAGAAAGAAATAACCAGAGTAAAATGGGAGAGAGAGAAATAAGAAAAGGAAAATGAGAGGGAGAGAGAAATAAGAAAAGGAAAATGAGAGGGAGAGAGAAATAAGAAAAGGAAAATGAGAGGGAGAGAGAAATAAGAAAAAGAAAATGAGAGGGAGAGAGAAATAACAAGAGTAAAATGAGAGGGAGAGAGAAATAAGAAAAGGAAAATGAGAGGGAGAGAGAAATAAGAAAAGGAAAATAAAGGGAGAGATTAAAAAGAAAAAAGAAAATGTGAAGAGAAATAAGTAAAAAGGAAAATGAGAGGGGAGAGAGAATAAAAGAAAAAGGAAAATGTGAGGGAGAGAGAAATAAGAAAAGGAAAATGAGAGGGAGAGAGAAATAAGAAAAGGAAAATGAGAGGGAGAGAGAAATAAGAAAAAAAAAAATGAGAGAGAAATAAAAAGAGAAAAATGAGAAGAAAAAAAGGAAAATGAGAGGGAGAGAGAAATAACAAAAGGAAAATGAGAGGGAGAGAGAAAGTAAAAGGAAAAAGAAAGGAAAATTAAACTCGAAAGAAGGAAAATAAGATAGAAACGTGTACGCAAGAGCAACAGAAGAGAAGTTCCACCAATTCTAACCTTCACGGCTAAGACCCGCCATACCACGCATATTATAATTTGAATCACCTCATTCCTATATATATATATATATATATATATATATATATATATATATATATATATATATATATATATATATATATATATATATATATATATATATATATATATATATATGTTTTTTATTTAAACAGTGAAATTAATAACCGCCAGCCTAAATTGCGAAGTCCTAAAAAAAAAAGAAAAGAAAAAGTGTGCCTTAGACAGGAATCGAACCTGCGTCAATTTTTCCATCAGCGAAACTAATTTTTGAGCTAAAATTTACTTCTACCTGTTCGGTCACGGAGACCAGCCTGACAATACAACTTTTGAAATGTCTTGCGTCACATTCCACTTTTTATACAAGCCTAAAGGAACTTAAGCAAAGAATCCCTGATGCGCTGGAGAATGTTACGCAAGACGTGCTACAGCGTGTTTGGTAGGAGCTGGAACACCGACTTGACATGTGTTGTGTCACAGGTGGTGTGCATATTTAACATTTGTGAAGATTTGTGAAATCGGTTACAAAAAAAAATCTAGATCCCTTTAAATATCTTGTTCGAATATTGATACATAAAACTTTTATTATTCAAATTTTATTTGCCTGGGACATGCTGTTACTCAGATATTCACATTTAAATGATGTCATTTTTTTACACTCTGTATATATATATATATATATATATATATATATATATATATATATGAAGAAATATATTTTTCAGGTAAGCTATATTTATGAGCTAAAGTGTTCAATATCAGAGATAGATAGTATGCAAATATAAAAGTGAACACTGAAGTCAGCAATCAGAGGCGGTATACTATTTCATGCTCAACGCAACCATCAGGTCACATGTGTTGTGTATTTTCTCGACTAGTTATATATACGGACCAGTGGTGTATTGTGAGTAGTCTATTGCAAGTTCATTCCAACGGTTATTTTGGCGGGGGTGGTTTGTTAATTTGTTTATTATTTACTTTATTTATTTGGATTAATTTACTTTGTTTGTTTTGGCTTATTTATTTTTATTTAGTTTTTTTTTAGTGTTTTCAGTTTTCGGATTCTAAGTAACGTAGTAAAAATTAGTTTTCGTGTCTGCATTTTTTGAGATGAGTTCTGATCGTTTATTTAGTAGTTTGTTTTGGTCTGGGAATGTAATTATAGCTATTTTTTCCTCCAAGCAGAGTTTGCAGTTTTTGGATTGATTGTTATAGACTGATGTTCTACAAAAGAAAAATGAAGATGATATTTGTGTAGTACAGCTGAAAATATTATATACATTTCTAAAATTAAATAATGTCATTCTCTTGAATTAATTATAAAGTTTGAAATTTCATATTTTGATTTTGGCATTAAATAACCCATAGAGGTGTTGATATGCCACTAATTAAAAACAACCAGACGAAACCATCGGCAGTGCATCATAGAATTCTGATACTTGGTATAAGTAGTCATTCATGCATAAATATTCACTTCATTTTTAACGGGTACTATGCTAGTCACTTGCTTGTTTAGTAAAGCATAAGAAGATGTCAGTTTGAACTGGGGACAAAGTCTCAGTGAGAAAATGTAACAGTCGGTGCTTACCTTTGCTGTAACGCGTCGTCTTGCTCCCGTCAGGTGAGGCGCCCGCACTGTGTGGCGAACCGGTGCTTTTATAATTGGTGTGCTGTTGAGCTAGAGATTTTCGGAAATGTTCTTCAATGCACTGATTGAAATCGACGTTGACAAAAATACGTAGATAGCTACTGTTGGAGAGAAAGTGCGTGGCTACCGGCCGAATGACGGCGTCCTCGCACGGTTCGTCTTCCTCTTTGACAATCCCCCGGCCAAGAGCCCCCGCACTGTTGCTTCTGGACAGAGACGTCGCTGCTGCAGCCGCCGCCGGGGACGTGACCATGTCCGGCACGGGCTGATGCTGGTGCGAGGTCGTGGACGGAAGCGATAACGAGGTTGCCTGCGGGTGTTGAGTGTGGTGGGGAGTGTGCGGTATAGTCGTGATCTGTTGTTGGTGTGGTGGGAGGTGGGGGTGGAGCTGGTGAGGCGGTGGTGTGGTCACCGTCGGGCTGGTGGTCGGGGAGGTCATTAACACATCAGTATTTGGGTAACACGTTCGTTCCATTATATCGTGTAATTTTGGCTGTCAATGAAAAAAATACGAAAATGTTAATAATATATAGTTAATTACATTAAGTGTTTATATATATATATATATATATATATATATATATATATATATATATGGTGTATCATGGGGCGGGATTCCCAAGCCAAAACAAGGACCATTCGATACGTGTGCGAGTATTTGAAAGGGTCCGCCAGTCAGTTTGCCGACGGGTACATGCGTGTGTAGAAGCAAGTGGGGGACATTTTGAACATTTCTTATAAGATACTGTCCTGAGGTACAACGATGGCTTTTGGACATATGTTTATAGGGATATTTTACCTAGTTTTGGTGTCAGGAAACTTCCCGCAAAGTTTGTAAAACTATTTTGGGGTTGTATCTTGGATTGTACATTTAACAGCGTCTACCGTAATCTTTAGATTTAATAACCCAAAAACGAAGAATTTGCGGACGTATGTTTATTTGTCTTTATTTTGGTGTGAGGAACCCGAATTTTTGATACACCTATATATATATATATATATATATATATATATATATATATATATGTATAAGTGCGTAGGTATGCAGAAAATAGAAAAAGAACACGTTGGGTGCATAATCTGGGGTTCCTTAGTATTTTTGTTTTTATTTTTAAGAAGACAGTGCTCCATACAAAAGTAGAGCTTATATTATAATAATATTTTTTGTTTAAAAATATGATTCCTTCCTTGATAAGAGTTCTCATGTTTCAAAAACGAGCCGAAGACGAATACAAAATAATTATTAAAATTAATTTTTATAATTATTTGTATATTTCCTATTTTCGTTTTTCAAAACATGAGAACTCTTATGTAGCGAAGGAATCATATTTTTAAACAAAAATATTATTATTATATATATATATATATATATATATATATATATATATACATATATAATAAGATCCAAAATCGCCTCATATTCGGAATAAGCTTATTTTGACGGACAAATATATAATTCGTTTGTCAGTGTGGGGTAGTGCTGTGTGTGTGTGTGTGTGTGTGTGTGTGTGAGAGAGAGAGAGAGAGAGAGAGAGAGAGAGAGAGAGAGAGAGAGAGAGAGAGACCGTGTTC